AGATTTGGATCCCGAAGAAACCCTTTCCTTGACCGCCTTTTGCAGACAGGGATGAATGCTTGGAGCTGGCTGTGGCTGTGTTCCTGTAGAAAGCTCTGCTTTATCACTTAATAAATCCCCAGGGGTGCAACTGCCAATAGCAAGAGCACATACGTCTACAGAAAATACTGCAGAAACAACCTCCTCCCCCGCTGGGCTGCAATTAGAAGCCACATTGCTTTTTCCCCTCTCCACAAACATGTCCTGGCCCAAGCCAGCAGCGTGCTGTTCCCCAAGCCCTGGCCTGGCTCTGGCCCTGCTGTGGTTACCAATGGCACCAAATCAGTGCTGTCGCTGCAGCTGGTGATAGGGAGGGTGCAGTGGTGGCTTTGCTGCACCCCCTGTCTGATACCTGTCCACCACCACCTTCACCCCATCAACCATAGGGGAGTTTGGGTAGAGGAGCTCTGTTTGGCCTGGAGAAAATCATCTCCATACAGGCTGATGTTGGAAGGGAGAGATGCCTAAATCTTCTCTGTCAGACCGGTGAAAGTGGTCTGTCCTCAAATGGGGCAGCCACCATGTTTAGGGTAAGGGCCCTTGGCAGTTTTGTGCCCCAGGTTTGGGTTTGGGGTCCTGTGTGTGTAGGCTTGGGTTTGGCACTTGCAGGACTTCTGCTCTGGGCAAGAAGACTGGGAAAGTAGCCCCAAATCTTTCATCCTCCCTAGCGCTGGCAGCAGGGGCCAGCCTGCCTCAAACAACTTGTGCTTGGTCAGAGCCTTGGCTAACCCATCTCTTTCCATGGCAGCTGAGAAGGTGACTTCTTTGGGGAAGGACTGGCACCGGCCCTGCCTGCGATGTGAGAAGTGTAACAAGACCCTGACATCCGGGGGGCACGCAGAGGTAGGTCTGGTGCCTGGGAAGCACCCACAGAGCAAGGTGGGTGCAGCCAGCAGGGCGCAGGGACTGATACTCTCCTCTCTTCCTGCAGCATGATGGCAAGCCCTACTGCAACCACCCCTGCTATGCTGCCTTATTTGGACCTAAAGGTAGGGCAAATTGGGGCTGGGGGCTTGGGAGGGGGAAGGGAGTCAGGGATCTTAGCCCCTGACTCTCCACAGCAGTGCATCCTGCAGCACTGCTGATCCTGCTCCAATTTCTTTCAGGGTTTGGCCGGGGAGGAGCCGAGAGCCACACATTCAAGTAGAGTTCAGGTTGGTGCTTCCCCTCAGTGCTCATCTGCTCACATCCGTGCTCAAGATCGTACTGCTGGGTGCCAGCTCCCTTCTGCCAGCCCCAGCAGCCTTTGCCACTGCTTGGCTTCAGCAGTGGGTGCCTTACTTTGAGGCTTGTTGGCAGAGATGGAGTCTGTCCCAATGCACTGCTGTACTGAGGATGTCCTTCTCTTCCATCCCTCTTCAGGTCTGATTGACAGATCTCCCTTTGCAGCCCGAAGACAGCACAAATCCACTGCAACAGACATGCCTTCTCATCCCTCATCACTCTGTAATCAAATAGCACGTTAAAGCAATAAGTAACCCAGGATGGGGTGGAGAGGGGCTCCGCTCCAGAAGGAGCTGCAGGGTGGGAGGTTGGATGCTGCTCCATAGGAAATTCGGTCGCTGAGGGCTGCCTGGAGAGAAGACCACACCTGGCCAGCCAAACCCAGCCCTGCTTCTGGCACCTGGCTCTGCAGTAGGGCCCATCCTTGTATTCCCAATCTTTAATAAACCCCGAACAACCATTGCTTATTCCATGTCGTGGCCTTATTTTTTTTTTTATACCATGAATTCAAGGGACTTGCTGACAAAGGACCCAACAAGGGCAGAATTGTGGGATGAGGTCTGGAACACTGTCCCTAGAGCCTCCGGTATCCCCAGATCCAGTACGTGGCTGGGAGCCAGGCTTGGAGCTCCATGGGGCTGGGCAGGCTCCTGCTGCGAGGCAGTGCAGGATGTGCCAAGAAAACAGTTATTTGCTGCCTCCTCTCCAGCCAGTCATACAGAAAGGCTGCGTCAGGCAGGGGTTAGCAGCAGGGCAGGGTGAGGCCCTGCCATTGGTGAGAGCGAAGGTGCGGTATTACTGAGCAGGAGCTGGCTCTGAGCCCCTTGCTCTCCGTTTCAGCCTCTTTTTTTCCAGCCTCTTCCCTGAAGGAAGAGCAGTGCTGACAGATGCAAGAGGTGTTGGCTGTTTCAGTAGTGGTTTCCCTAACACGAACCACCCCATTTACATGTTCTGATATGCTTCACACCACATGCAGCTATTTTTTCCCGTGCTTTACACATGCATTTCTTTAGAAACTGCAGTATTTTCTGTTACGCTGGCATTACTAGGATCTGGCCAAACCCTGCAAGATCAGAGGTACATGCCTGGTACCAAAATCTTTGCTGATAGAAACAGTTCCATCTGATAAACATCTTAAAACTTCCTATGTGTGTGTCAGAAGTCTTTCCCCAGCCCCACATCCTCTTCCCCTGTGAGTGTAGTTGTAATGAAGGAGAGCTGCTCGCCTGCACACAGCTCCTGAGTGATGCATAACGGGATGCCTGTGCTGGATGGGGCCTTATTCAGTCTCCTGGTGCCCTCTTACCTGTTGCTCTTCCCACTCCCCCCCTTGCCACGGCACTGAGGTGGCTGGGACAGCTCCCAGCACCTGTAGGGACATGGGAACAAAAGGGGCTGTGCCACCCCAAGCAGCGTGCAGACAACCTGAATCTCATGCTGCATGTTGCCTGGCCGACAAAAACTGGGATATCTTGAGCAGGCTCCAGGGATGAGCCTTAAGATAATAGTTCCTGCTGCAAAAAGCTCCCTCTGGCTGCCCTGTTTCTGTGTCCATGCTCTCACAGAGACAACTTGCTGGGCATACAGCCCTCCCAGCTCACTGCTGGCACTGGGCAGAACCCAGCTCAGTGCTGTGAGCTTGGGCAGTTCAGGCTCAGGTCACATCTGGAAGGAACTTTGGTCAAAGAAAATACATGGTAATTGATTTTACATTCACCTCGTTCTTTGGAGAGGAAGAAACAGCTGCATGGTGTTTGGAAGGGAAGCCAGACGTGCAGCGGGAGGTGGGTTGCCAGCAGACACAAGCTTGTGCCAGGAAGGGAGAGCAGGATGCTGAGTTGAATTCCTGGCTTTATGGGGGAGCAGCTGAGGGGTGACACTGCCATCATAGGTCAGGGCAGCCCCGGGGTACCAATCTGGGCATGAGGTGATCTCCAGCAAAGTGTGAAGCCCTCATGTTGGTGACGTGAGGCATCACAGTTGCTGACCCAGAGGACGGGGCAGTGCTTCCTCTGACATTATTACGGAAGCTGTGGCTGAGATCAATGGTGCTTGTGGATTGTTGAGCGTTGGTTGCTATAAACACTTCTTCAGTGACAAAGAAAACAAACAACATCACCCGTTTCTCTGGCAGTGCATGTGGGCGAGCCCGAAAGTGTGGGCTAGGGAAGCAGAAGAGGTTTTAGCAAAGGATAGGAAACAGGATGGGCTCAGAAACTGAACTGCTGCGGTTTCACTCTATGCTTTGTGGTTTCCTGCACAGAAGAAAAAAGGAGAGGGGGACTGAAAGAGAGTGAGGGGCCCTCGGTGCGGCTAGTCCCCAAGGGGTAGCTGTGCTGTGAGGGATGTTGTGTTCTGCTGCAGAGCCCAAGCAGGAGACTGCAAGGACCAGCTTGGGACACCTGACCTGGCCCTGAATGCTCTCACCTGCTGTAGGCTGATGTCAGCATTAGAGCAGGTGTGTCCCTGTGCCCACAGACAGCCAGGAGACAGCATGAGCTGGGAGCCTGCAAACAGCACGCTGCCATCTGAGTCCCCCTCCAGAGGCTGTGCCCTGCAGCTGGCCTCAGGCACTGGTGTGGCATTTCACCTTCTCTCCTTTTATTTTCAAGCAAATTGAGAGTTTAAAGGGAGAAGAGAGCAAGAGCTTCCCACCAAACCTCTGTGCCTGTCTTTGGTGGGCCCTGCTTTAAGGGATCAATGCACAGAGTGCATTCCCCATTGTGCAGAGGAACATTTTGCTGTCGAAGTTAAAAGGGTGAAGCTCCTGAGAACTGCAAGCCTGCAGATGTTTTTATTTTAATGTCTCATAATCCTTCCTGATTGGTTTATTATACTGGAAGTGCAGACCCTGCATCAGAGGGCCTGAGACACCAACGCCTGTGTTAAGCATCTGAAGCATCCGTCTGCTGGGAGCTGACCTCGGATTTTGGCACCACAGGACATTGTGCTGCGTTTGGGAAAATCCATCTTACTGCAGCTATTATTACAGTTCCCGTTGGGGACCTGCCGACCTGTGACTGCCGTGTGATGTGAAGCACGCTAAAAAACACGTGTGTGCAGTGCTGTGGCAGCCGGGGAAGAGGCCGCTGCCTCTGGGCTGTTTGCTGAGCTGCTGAGGGAGGGAGGAGAGCGGCTGCAAGGGAACCACGGCTGGATGCACGGCCTGAGGGCCAGGCAGGAGATGAGGGGAAAAACAGTGAAAAAAAAAAAGGAAAAGGAGCTGGGTGTTTTCTCAGGATTAGGGCTCGCACCCCTTGGCACCGAGGAAGCCACCACGGCCTTTATCGTGCGCAATCGGTGTGAGGCAATGGGACGCGGCACGTTGCCATGGCACAGCAACAGCAAACACGGCCTCAGCCCCACTGAGTCACCGGGTGGCAACGGCCCCTGCTAACCGCATGGGGACAAAGCTGCGGCACTGGGAGGAAGGGGGAAGGAAGCGGCCTGCTGGAGGACGGCCATCTCTGCCTTCTCCCTGCAGGCCTGGACTTGGGGCTTTGCCCCTCGTTTGGCGCGCAGTGCTGCGGGTGAAGCACAGCGAAGCACAGCACGGCTTCTCCGGCCTGCGCGGCGCCGTGCAATCGCTTTGGGTGCGGCCAAGAGGTCAGGACCAAGCGGCTCTCCGCCCGCCCTGTAGGGGTCGCTGCAGCGCCCGCTCGCGCAGGGCGGAAGGGGCGGTGCTGCGCATGCGCAGCGCTAGGGGCGGGAAGCGGCGGGCGCTGCGCTGCGATACGATGCAACGGTGCCGTGCGCTGCCCGGCGTTGTCGGAGCGCTGTGCCGGGCTCTGCCGCCCTGCGCCCGGCTCGCTCCCGACGTCCTGCGCCGCGCTAGGTTCGACCGGCCGCAGGCGGTGAGCCCGGGGCGCGACCCTCCCTCCCTTCCTCCCTTCGCAGCCCGTGTGGCGCTGCGCTTTACGAGGGCTGGCCGAATTCTAGCGGCGTCTCTGAGTGGGGCTGAGCTGTGCCGCACGTGGCCGTGTGCCAGCAGCCGTTCCTCGTGTTCTTTTGCAGACGCTGGATTTCTGGAGGCTGCTGTATGTTCTCTTGAAACAAATCCACGGAGGCAAGTGGACCGAGTCGGATGCCATAGGTAACAGCAGCCTGGCAGATCACCGTTTCCATCTGTGCACTGGGGCCGATTTTGTGACACTTTTCTTCCCGGCTGGTTGTTAGCACGCCATGTGTAACTGCTGCTTTACACCACTGCCTTACTGTTGTATCATGGCTGTGCTCTGGTTTGCCTCCATTATCCAGGAAATGGGGTGTTTTTGCATCTCACAGGGTCTCCTGTTTCCCTTGGACATTTCCCTGCATCTAGAACTGCAGTGGTCATATGCCATATTCTCACTGTGACAAAGCACTGCTGGTTTCTTAAATAACACCATTCCTGCCTTCAGAATACCTGCCTTCAGGCTTCTGTCTGTTCGAAGATACCTCTCCAGAGCCCTTTTGCTGTGGGAGGCATCTTCGAGGACGGGTTCATCTGTGATGGACATGCTTTCCCAAACACACCGATACTACTTAGAATCAGCCCTCAAAAGCTAAAAAAAAAAAAAAAAAACAAAACAACAGTGCAAATCTTAATCCTAAACTGGAACTCTGGTGGCTCTAGGGATAGTGAAAAAAAAGCTAAGCATTGTGGCTGATTTCTCATGAGGAATGTGAAGCCAAGTCAGTGCAGTTCAGCTGTTAGCTCAGCAGGAAATCAGCATGGTTCTGTTACTCACAGGACTGCTGTTTTTCGTTTGTCTGGTATGCCTTTTCTGCTCATCTGCAGTCTGCTGCGTGTGACTGTGTGGTAAGTCAATTTACTGGCTGTCCACCACAGTTTTGTGAGGCTGCAATCTCCTGGCTGCTCCAGTGCTAATTGCTAGTAGTGTTTGGAGGCAGGATTTCCATATGCACATGGCAGGTTGCTGACTTTAAAGAGAGCAAACCCTATCAGTGCTGGTTGAGTGTCAGGGAAGAGTGCGTGGTTCTGCACAGAACTGCTGAACTGTTTTGGAAGAAACTTGTTTAGTCGCAACTCGCTGATTAAGCCTGAAATTCAGGTTGTGTAGCTGTACTGCTGTTCAAAATATGCTAACTGCCTTTGCTTGGCTGAGAGAATGAGTTGCCTGGTGTAGATAGGAACAATATTTTACTTCTTTTTTCTCTGTCCTTGCTCCAGAGCAATTGTGGTTTTTCACAATTTATTGCATGGAAATGAAATGGAAGACTTGAGCTCAAGGACTAAATAACTTTCTCAGGAACATGTAGGAAAGTGAGAAACTGAGACCGATTCCTCCAATTCAAGCATAGCATTTGGTTTGGGCTTCCCTTTCTTTGCTGGTTTTGTGCAACCTATTAATTATCTTGTCTAAAAGCTAGGAGGGGACGCTTGCTGTATCTCAGAGGAAGGCTGCGAAGCATCATTCTCTGTGAGTGTTGCTGTGTTTGTAGGCATAGGAACAGCTTTCTGGGAAAGAAAAGCAATACTTGTGGACTTGTGCTTTTTATTTTTTTGTAAGCTAAAAGTTCTTCCAATGGAAAAGCTCTGAACGAAACGAGGATAGAATGCTCTTCTTGATTTTACAGGACAGAGTTTTGTATAAATGTTGTTCCTTTAATTTGGGAAATCCTTTCGTTCAAGTTGCTTTCCAAGCTGCGCTCCCAGCGCATGTTTCTGTTTCAATTAATGGTTTTTATTAGGTTTGGAGCTCATTATGTAAGTGAATTTTAGGGAAGATTAACATTTGCTTTGAACAGAATAGCTGCTGGGCATTCTCTTTTTGTGGCTGTAATGTGATGCTGTTTAGAAAAACATTCTGCATTGTGTTTTTAAATGGTTGACGGATTTTAGTATCCCTGTGGCAGAAAATGAAATATTTGAAAAATATTTTGCATGCAAGAAAATCCACGCAGATGGATGTTTTAAAATGTGGGAGCTCTTGTGTTCTTTCAAAAGCAATGCAGAAACACCGCATCTTTCAGTTGGTGGTTATTAAATTCTGCAAATTTTGCTTTCTCCTTCTGGAAGAGTCTTTTCTAGTAAGAAGCATGCATTTAGAAGCAGTTGACACACCACAGCCTCTTAAACATGTCAGGTTTCCCCTCAGAGGAGTACAAGTGGAATTCAGCTGTGCAGTGGCACTGTAACCTCACTGATGAAGTCAGTCAGGGTTCGTGGCTTCGTGCAGTTCTTTTTTCACAGAGGTTGGGAAGTGGCGGACTTGGCTAACAGCCACACCAGGCAGTGGTGCAGTGTGCGTTTTGATAGTTGGAAGAGATGGTTCTTTTGCAGAGCTGCAACTCATTTTTTCTAGTATGAGGAAGAGGTCTGGGGCTGCAGTGTAGCTCTTTGTTTGACAAATGAAGCAGAAAATGATGTTCTGCAGCAGCAGTTGTTTCCCACAGTGCCACCACCTCTGCAGGTGTTTCTTGCCTGAATGTGTGCAGTAATGTATCTCTGTCTGCTCTTGTATTTGATTTAGTCCCTTTCCGCCTCAGTCTGTGGGACTAATGCCTAACCCTTATTTGAGTACCTTCTTGTAATTCACCGAAAATAGCCTGTGGGATTTGTAAAGTGGAAGAGCACAGCTTGAGCACAGTTTTAAGAGAACTGAACCCTGAGGCTCATCCACAGTTTGGCTGTACGTGCTGAACTTGCTTTTATAAATAATGTGCATGCGGAAAGGAATTAATTGGAAAGACTGTGTGGGTCTTTCTATATAGATTACCTAATCCTAATAAAATGCCAGAAGAAAATGTTGGCAAAGAGGGGATATTTGAGTGACTGGCGTTATCTGCTATCTGCGTGGTATTTTTGCCTTCTCTCTTGGCTGCACATTTTGGAAGAATCCATCTTGTTGTGTGGTACTTATATAGTTTTGTGTGCCATTAATCTGAGGATCATATCCTTACAAGGCAGAGCATTGCAGAGATGAGGAAAACTAAGTGGCTTCTGTAAGGTCCTTCAGCCTTCCTGGAAGGGCTGTGTGAGCCCCTGCCCCTGATCCACACCTTGGCTGCATGCCCACAGCTGCTGCCTGATGCCCACACCAGGTACCTCCTTGTTAGGAGGGCAGTGTGTTGCAGAGAGACAGCTGAAATGGGGAGGTGAAGGGTCAGAGCAACTCCCACAGTCAGGTGGTGAATTGCTTTGGTGCATCTGGTCCTGAATGAGGAGGGAAATGACAAAAAAAAGGGGGAAAAAATGAACAAACAATACCCCCTAGCTTGCTTTTTATTCCTTCTCTTTGTTAGGTGATTTCTTGGGGAGCTCCTTGAACTGCAGATGGCAGCACATCATGCTTCTTTGCTTCAAGAGGGAAGGAGAATAAGTACTGATGATCCTCCTTCCCCATGGAGTACTTCTACCTTTACCTGTTATGGCAGTTTGCTTCTTGGCAATGACAGATGTGCAAAGAAAAGGAAAGGGAAGCTAGAAAACCTGGCTAATATGAGAATGTTCAAGGGTGATCAAAACAAAATTTCTAAGAACTGAGTGCTCCCTGTGATATATCCATGGCCAGGTTTTTAAGCATCTGCAGAAATAGTATACAGAGTCATGTTGGTGTCTGGGTTTGTCTGTGGTGCAGAAGCAAGCTAGGTTTAAAACCAGCAGTCTGAACTGTGGTCAGTGTTTCTGTCAGGAATTCATTTATAGCTTTCATGTGGTCGGTCATATATTCCTGCTCCTAGATGTACAGTGACGTGCATGGCATTTCCAGCTCTGCATTTGCACCGAGGAGCACTCTGGAAATAGGCATCTCCTTAGGGATCCACACTGCCTGGTCTTTTAAAGCTGTTCAAACAGAACACAAAGGGCTTGGTGGCTCTTAGTGCCTATCAGTTTCTCCCAGCCTCAGCACAGCTGTAGCAGCGCACTGCTCCTATATTGTTACTGGCACAGGACACTTTGGGTTATAGCTCCTCACTCTGTCTTGGCTTTGTACTATTTCATCAGGTAAGAGCCCCTTAATGTTTCTCAAATCAAGTTAAATCAACCACTTTTCACTGTGGGATTCCCTCATAATTAACAAATTCCTTTTGAGAGCAATGCTTTTTTCCCCTTTGTTTTTGTTTTGAAGTTGGTCATGCTGTGCTTTTTGAGCTTCAGCAGTCAGTGCCAGACAAAGACAGATTACAGTGTGTGTGACTGTTGAGGGATGGTTCCAGCACAAGTGCCCAAGGAGCAGGAAAAGCAGTGTGTAATGTGATGAATGAGTATGCTAATTAAGGACAGCAGTGACAATCCCTGATTGTGTGAGGGCTGTATCTTTTGTTGGGATGTGTGCATGTACCTTTTTCTTTTTTTTTTTTTTTTTTTGAAGCTTTACAGAATAGGTGAAGAGCTTTCTTCCTACTTTTGGAAGGATGCCTCAACTGTATCAAACTGAAGGTTCCTCTGGCTCCAGCCAATAGTGACAGCTGTTGAAAATGGATGACCAGGATTATGGACAAAACCAGGGACACTTCCAGGAGGTTATTCTTTCAGCTGCTAGAAATTTTATTTGCCCACATTATCATTTCTTAAAATGCTGTTCTGTACTTGTGGTCTTGTTCTTTCTCTTAGTTTTTCTCAAGTCTTCCGTAGCCCTTCTGGGACTGAAGAAATGGAGGACCACTGTGAGTTTGAGCAGTGGGGTCATGGTGGATGGAGTCAGCAGTATTATGTCCCTCACTGTATTCTGTCAGATTTTCTTTCTAGATTGCTTGCATTCAGTTTCCTTTTGTATGCTCAGGGAGGTGAGTAATATTGTCAGAAAAATTGTATAAGCCAAGATAGTGTGTAGTGGTCAGCCCTGAGCATGCTACCATGTCAGTAGTTTGTTCTTTTCCCTTGTGTGCCTCACATCTGCTACTCTAATGCTTGGACTCACTAAGTTCTGCAGTTTTTCATAATCTGCTTTCTGTCATTATCACATTGCCTCTGTGTCATTTTGAGTTAGTTGAACAGCAGAGGTTTAGCTCATAGCCCTCTTGTGAAACCTCTCTGTGTTCCTGTCCTCTGATTCTTAACTGCTAGTCACTTGTTGCTGATGCAAGCCCATCTACTGGCTTTTTCTTCTGCTAGTTGAATGCCTTTGGGAAAGCTAAATCTGCATCAGCTGAAAGTTTCTTAACTACTCACTGGTTGTTGCCTTCGTAGAACTCTGGTAGTGTATTCAGCAGGACATCTTCATGCAGCTACTGTTGCTTCTTCCCCAGCATATATTGGTTATCATCGTGGCCCTTAATTGTGTTCTTTATTACAGTTTTGACTACTCAGTACAGAGCTGAGGCTTGCTGGTCAGAACCTGTTTTGATAATAATTTTATCTTCCTTTCCTCAGTATTTCACAGTTCTGTAGTGCCTGTCTTGTAGCTGTCAGGAAAAATTTGCTGGTGTGAAGGAATATGAATTGGAGCATTTCTGAGAGTTAAATAGTCCATGCTGCACACATTGCTGCTCACCAGGTTGCATTATTATCTCTGCCTGCCCACTGCTGCTTAGAGATTTGAGACTCCTATCTCCAAATTCCTGTTTCATTCAGGAGTCAAGTGACTCAGAGTATTTACTAATTCATAGCACGCTTGGTGGCTCATAAAAAATGGATGGGTGAGTTGGAGTCTTGGTGTAGTGGGGATGGCTATTTATCTGTTTTGCTTTTGTTAATCTCCAAGAGGACACTACTGGCCTACTACAGTCTCAACTTTGAATTTCCTCTTTTCCTTTCGCAGTAGTTCCCGTAGGTCCAAACAGGGAAGCATAAAGAAGTTTTTCCCGTTACCTTCTTCCTTTTTAATTTGCTGATTAAAGTGCTCCAGTCTCTGCTGCCCTCTATTAGCCTTAGGCTTGATTAAAAATCTTGCTCTCAGAGACAGCAGCAGTTTCTGGAACCAAACGGGTGAACGCGCTGAGTAGCACAGTGTGTTATTCTCAGTTGTTTTCTTCTTTTCAGATACCCAAATTAGGTTTGTCAAATCGGCGTTGTGGTACCACGGCTATGGCAGGCCAGAACTTTATCAGCTCCCCTCGGATGGCTCAGCAGGAAGTCGAGAGCTGCTGCTGGCATTTTCCTGGCTGCTGCACAGGGTGAACCTCTTGGAACGGCTTTTGGCTCGGAACAGAGTGAAAACAGGGGATGAAACCTCTGTGTGCACGGTGAGCATGCTCGTGTCCTTCCGCCTCATCCATCCGTGCTATCACTAGTGTACTGCACACTGTGGGGTATCTTGGGAACTTGACAAGTAAATACCCTGGCTTAAAAGAAGTAAAAATATTGGAGCCTGTTTACTTTCCCTTCCCTAAACTTTGTGCAGGTGATTTGAGTTCCCTCTTTTTCTCAAACTCTGTTCCCTACATGAGTGCTGTGATTTTGGTTTCTTGCAGTATAGATGAGATCAGTGTGGAGGAATGGAGGTAAGTGAATGTTGTTGGTCTCTGTTGCCAGACAGTAGGCAAACAGGTTATTTCTGAAGTCTGGGGCTGTTGGCATTGGGTGGAACAAGTAATCCTAAGGCAAACAATATTAAAAAGCATCAAGATCTCAAATGGCAGCTGCTATTGTTGGGGTAACTAATGGCCTTTTAGCTTCCTTAAGAGGTTGATGAGGTATGCTTGTGTTTCCATAAATAAAAAGATATTAGCACATAGAAAGCCTACTCTGAAGTAGGCTCAGGATAACTGTGTCTCTGCTTTGGCTACAATGTACATGATCAGGGAGGAGAAAAAAAAAAAAAAAAAAAGGCAAAAAAACCCAAGCCCACAGCCTCATAGAAGTAGTATTATCAAATTTTATAATTTTACACCTGTTCCTTGTGTTTAAGAGCATGTATTACTATATAGACATTTGCTTTGGTATATAAACTGAGGAGCCGAGAGGTAAATGTGGTGCGTTTTTCCATGTTTTTACTGTCTCTGCTCTTGACATAGTTGAACACAGACTGAGTTTATGCTGATCCCCTCAGTGTGTTAACATGGTTGAGGTCCCTCTAGAAGGATGTAAATTTGTTCTAAGTCATCTTCATCTATTTGATGTTAATTGCTGGTAAGTCTGGTTCTGAATGATAAGCTCACAGAACTGTCTCATTCCTTGGCAAAGGACAGTGTAGGTGATGAGTCCCACCTGCTTGTGTCTGGTAATGTTTAAGACCTTGTGTTCTACATGCTCATGTAGATGTGCTCCCCTAGGCTGTGGACTGCATCTTTTCAGTGTTAGTCAGGGGCAGTTCAGTTACAGCTGTTAGTGGGGCTGGCCAGCCTGCCAGGAACAGAACCTCTGCTCCCGAGTGGAGGAGTTACCACCTGAATTCCATCCAGCACTTGCTCCTGTTGAGAACCTGCAGATCTATCTGTTTGCTTTCTTTCTACCCAAAGTCCTACTTCACAAGGGAATTTAGAAGGTGAGAATCAAGCTGGAGCCCAAGCCTTGTGACCCAATCTACATCAGGAAATCTACTAGTAAGGCAACAGTCTTTGTGTTTCCCTGCTGTGGCGATAAACTTGTGACTAATGGCAGAGACTTGATACTGTAGGTGCAGTATCCGCAAAAGGAATTCAATGGAGAGCAATTAAAAGGGAAGAGTTGCCTTTATATCATCATTGTGAGAAGACAGACTGCACTTGTACACTGCCATTGGTTGCTTCACAAAAAAGGGAGCAGTGGTGCACTCTGGTGATCAAAAGGGCACCTCCAGACCATACGAGAAAGGCACTCGTGGTGAATGTTTTACTTTGTGCATCTTGGTTCTGTTTTGGTTGTGTGGTGGTAGATTTTTTTTTTTTTTTTTAGCACATGATTTCTATCACAAAAGAGTGATGACTGTAGTGTAGTAGCAGCGTGAATTCAGGAGGTAGGAAAATGCCGTATTATTTTCTCTGAAGGACTTATTTTTGCCTTTTCCAACATGAGATGAAAGAACTGTGGTGACACAACGTTATCTTGTATGTCCACACAGAGATACATGAGCCATTTTGTTTACTGTTGTGCCTTTCATGTCAATTCTAATCTGCTCACCTGTGTTTCTCAAAAAGAATGTAATATGTGTTTCATATACATAACTGTCCTAAACCAGTGTTTGCAAAGGCTCACAAACCCAACGAGGTTCTTAATAAGCCAGATAAAAAGTTATATATATATATATATATATATATATATTTGTATTTATATATGGGAGTTGGAATTAGTGTATGTATGTAAAGATTGCACACTTTAATGACAACATTTCTTGTTTGGTGTTCATCTAGTAAGTTTTCGTCTTGAAACTTATGAGTAATAAAACAAATAAATGCAGTTGGTCTTAAGGAAGAAATGTTAGATTGTAATTGTGGTCCTCTTTGTGGTTCTGTACCACAAAGAAGTAGAAGAATTTCCAGGGAGAGATCTTATCATGGAGCTGATCAGCGAGGTGTTACAAAACCAATACATCTGATCAGTAAGACCCAAGCAAGTTAGGACTTAAAAGTGCACAGTTAAGGAAATAAGAATGGGTGTGAAGGAAATGGTAGGTGGTTCAACTCCTTGTACACCACTCACTGGACCCTGTTGTTTGCATAAAAGTGTGATAATTATTGTAGTGTTATTTTATGGAGTATCTTCATGAGTATTTTCTCATCAATCAGAATGATGTTTTAGTTCCTAAAATTATAGTGAACAAGAGGTGAGATTGAAAGTTTGTTACCAGGCGTCTTGTGGGTTAAAGTACAGCCTAAACAATTGAAGTGCTGGCACTTTGACTCTGTGCATGGTAAATAACAGGCTCTTTTCTGATACTTAAGCTGAAGTGTTGGAAGATACATAACAGATGGTACAGACATTTCTAAGCATGTCAGAGATGTAGTCTCTGCAGTTGTAATTCTCTCTTATTTGAATAAATGGAAGAAAAAGGCAGGGCTATTTGAGAAAACATACTTAGAGAAAGAAATGCTCTTTTATGATCTTTCTCTTTCTTCTTCATTTAAAGCAAGTGAAGTTCACAGCTGAGAAAGAGCCTGAAAAACGTTCCGTCACACAGAGCCTTTTTTAAACATACTATAAACAATTGGAAATATTTTCTTGAAAATGTTGCAAAACAACAATCCATGAAATACTGTTTGGTTCCGTGCACTGCTGAGATCTCTGCCAAAACCAGCAAAGCATGAAAGCCAGCGCTTACTAACAGAGCACATCTTTTGATCTATTAGAATAAATGTGAAGAAAGCCCCCCACCTCTGTGTCTTCATCTAAAAAAATGGAACCTGAAGAGCTGCAGCATAGCAGTGGCTCAAAGAGATGCGTGTGTGGTTTGCTGTTAAAATGCTGTTGGAGATCCACAAACGTGGACTGTTGTGTGAAGGGTCTGTTGTATGAAGAGGAGAGAATGCAGCTAATCCCTAAATTAAGTGTGCAGAGATGTTCTGACCATTCTTTCAGGCTGTATTTGAAACAAAGCCTACCAGCAATGAAATTGCTGATAGTGTGCCAAATACCCAACAAATCAAGGGCCAATTAAATTAATTCATTTCATTCCAGATTACCACTCTATGGCCTTTTCTTCTCCACTGTTCCTTAGCAACATGCTTTTTTTCTCTCCTGCAAATTGAACACTTCCATCTGAAGGATTTCAGCCAGTTATTTATAGAGGGACAAGGGTATGCTTGACACATGATGGACGTGGAGCTCCACTGCTGCAAGGAATTCAGAGCCTTAAGATCCTGAGCTAGGAAAAAGCATTCAACAAGCCTAATTTTACACACGCTTACATCTTCTGAGTCAAAGGTTAAGTGATATCTGAAAGTATTAGCTACATGGTGGTAAAAGTATGATGAAAGGCTTGGGGTAGGAGGAGGTAGTGCTTAATGTATGTAATGTAATTAAAAAATAAAAATGATCTTGGAGTAGTTGTTGGCAAGGACGGACATGTTGGCACCTTGGGTGATCGTATGGGCTGACTGCTTGGATGTGTTAGGAGAATCCTTCAGGGCACCTTGTCTTATGTGGCCTCCAGTGCATTTCCATTGCAAGGTTGGTGCTGCAGGCTGTTGTGGCAGGGACTGGGATGCTTGCTGTGGACTGCAGCAACCTGCAGTCCTGGGGGAGCTGCTGCCCTCTGCAGCCTTCCGTCCATGCCTCTCCTCCAAGTTATGAATCTTAGAGAAGGGGTGGAGGAAACAGTGAGGAGAGCTGCCTGAAGCCCTCATTGCTGTACAGGAGAGGCAGGAAGAGCAGGTAGTGTATGCTGGGCTCTGGCCTGTGGCTGCTGTGGTTGAAGTTCATTCTGTGAATTGATAGTCCTGCTTTGTCAGCATGTTGGTGACAGCAGAGGCGATCAGTGGAAGCTCAAATCTTGCACTAATCAACTCTAGAAAAAGTAAAACAATTAGAGGAAATCACTAATTGTGTCGGTCCTGTAAAGACTGGAGTACAGCCTGAATTGGAGGCTCACATTGATTTACGGTGCGTCTGTTTTGGAATTCTAGCCTATTGTTTTTGCTTTAAAGCACTGGATGATTAGTTGTTAGACGTTGTCTTGAAAGGCTTTTTACACTCTCTGTGGGTTTCTGTCTCAAATAAGTACCGCAGAGATGTTGAATTTAGCATCTTTTGTTGCTTTGGGTGACTTGAGGAATAATCTTGAGTGCTGTTCATTGATTCCACATGGAAATCTTAGAGTACAAGGGAAAGTTTAAAAACAAAAAACAACCACATCTGAGTGATTCTTCCTTTTGCTTTCTTTCCTATAAAGTTGGTGGATTTTCTGGTCTATCCCAAGGTGTTTATGAGATCTCACAACCAAACCCAGTGTTCCTCCAGCAGCCACCATGTCTCCTTAATTGAGACTCTTGAGTTCTGGAGGTATGGGTTCCTCCATGAAATCAGGGTTCCTGTGTCCTTTGGAGCAACTCTGCTAGTTACACTGAGTCTCTGTCACTTAACTGTTCATGCTTGTAGCCTGCTGACATGTCACTGACAAAAGCTAGTACAACTGTGTGATCTTCACCTAAGAAGGAACACGAGGAGGAGGATCTTGAGAGAAACTTGATGGGAGCATTGGCTGGCCACAGTTAATAGCAAAATAATTATAATAATAATAATAAAATATAGTGTTTATGAACCTTAAAACAGGGTATGGAACCTTAAGAATGTGAGTTCTGTTGCTCTTTTTTTTTTTTTCATTGAACCT